GGAGCCCCCAACTCTTCCCAGTTGGTAGCCGAAGCGTTTCAGCTCCGGGATCTGCCCCTCCAGTCGGGGTTGGTTTCCTTTGGGATCAACTGGATCTCTTTGCAGTCCGAGGGATGCTGAAGAGTTTTTCTCCAGCGCCCCCCCAGTTCAAAAGCATCCACGCTTCAGCGCTCAGACTTCCTCTCTTCTGGTCCAATTCTGGTCCAATTATCGCAGCTGCACGTCCTTCCTGGGAAAACCGTATCTTTGGACTCTACGAAGCCACTTTTATCCCAGCCCGAAAGAGGGAAGACCGGGGGGGGGCTATAATTGGGCACCGGGGGCTCGAATTCAGGAGGAAGGAGCCAGTTTGTACACTTAAGAAAACAGTGTGTGGGGAAAAAGTGTCCCCAGAACCAACACTCCCACCGTGGCAACGTCCAGACAATCCAAAGAGACGCAGCCGCTTCTCCCTAAGCAGCCCCTCCCCACGGCCTGTTGGAGGAGGGGGGGGGCCCCCCCGTGACCCGACCCCCCCCCCCCCCCCCCCGGTCACAGCATGCCAAGGAAGAAAGCTTAGCTTAGCCTGGGCCTGAAGAGACCTCGGATTAGAAGGGCGAGGGTTGGCCTCCGACGTCACCTTCCTCGACGCTTGGCTGGCACCCCAAAAGGACCCCGCTGCCCTCCCCCCATGGACACCCCCCCCGGGCTACGGCTTGTCCCTGGCTGGCTGAGACCTCTCCTCCTCTCCCCAGCAGACCCGGGACTCTGGGCTCCTCCCTCGTTCTCCTGGCACCTCCAGGAAGGAGGGGGTACCTGGGGTGGGTGGGTGCTGTAGACAGAGAAGGGGGGCTCCAGGGCAGAGATGCTCCCCGGGGGGGGGCAGTCAGAAAGACCAACACAGGAGGGCCAAGACTTTGGGGTCTCAAGAGATGAGGGGCTTCCTCTTCCTCCGAAGCAGCCCCCAACCTACCCACCCTGCCCCTGCCAGTCTCAGCAGCCTTTCTGCCCACGGCCAGGCCTGGTGACATGTGGGGAGGGGGTGAGAGTAGCCCTCCCCTCCCCATTGCAGATCTGGGAAGGCTTTTCGGTTCTCTTTGGCCAAAGGGGGGGGGCTTCGTTCTCTTATCAGGGAGAGGATGGACCCCCCCCCCAGTCAGGGTCCTATGGGCTGATTGGGGCACCATGAAATAATCACGTGGGGTCAGATAACAGGTAATCAGAGTGGGAAGAGACCTTGGAGGTCATCTACTCCCACCCACCCCCACCCAAGCAAGAGACCCTACACCAATTCTGACAGATGGCAGTCCAATCTCTTCTTGAAAGTCTCAAGCGATGGGTCCTGGGTCCTTGGACTCGCACTGATGACGTTCCCTAGTTGGGTCATGAAATGTCTGCAAGGAAAGCACCAAATTCAGAGATCAGCCAGGACCCCACAGTTGTTGTCATTCTCCTCCTCCCTCCCCCTCCTCCTCCTCCTCCTCCACCTCTCCCTCCTCCCTCCTAGCACAGATGACGTTCCCTAGTTGGGTTATGAAATGTCTGCAAGGAAACAGCCAAGCTCAGAGAACACCAAGGACCCTGAGCATTTCAACCCTGAGCTGCAAATATTCTCCTTTATAAGTCAGTCGTATTTTTACTCAAACCCAGCTGGAAGGCCCAACTCATCCTCAAACCCAGCTGGAAGGCCCAACTCATCCTTTCGTGGTACTGGGTGCTCTGGGTTACCTGGTTGGAGTAGTGGGGAGGAGAGAGAGAGAAGTTTTCTGCACGTGCTCCGAGGCTCCCTGTCCTCCCTACCCTCAAGCCTGGACATGGGGCCGCAAGGCCTCAGCCTTCCTAGCTGGGCACCCCCCCCATAAACACACACACTGCATGCACCCCCCCCACTCCCTGAATCAGCCGCCCGGGTTTTCTACCTACTCAGCTCCCTGCCCGTAAAAGTTCCCAAATCCGCCCCACAGATCAAATGAAGGTAATTACAAAGCTCCTTGTGGGCGAATCCCAGTGGGAGGGAAGGAGTGGTCACGGGTGGGGCTCCCGGAGGAGGCAGCCGAGGCCCCACGCCCAACCTGAAACAAGCCAGCAACAGAAACCATCCGGGCGGGTCAGCTCCACACCTTCCCCCCCCCCTCTCTGCAAAAGGAGGGGGACATGGCAGCAGCCCAGAAGCAGCCACGGCAGCGCCGGGGAAACAACACGGGCCGGCACGACACCCATGGCGGCCGCGGGGCAGAGGCCATCCCGGCTGGAGAGCCCCTCGGGGCAGCCCTGGACCACGCCTGGCAGGGGTCTCTCTCGGACCTATTGACCGGGACGCGGAAGGCGCTGGGCTTACGGTGGGCTTGGCTTCACGGCAGCCCTGGAGATAGATTGGTGAGTAGGAACAAACTTTTATATCTGTATGGAACCCAAACCTGACCCACTGACCTCCCCCCACATCAGCCACACTCAAGAGCCCCCAGGAGCCCCTCCCCCTGCAAACAAGCAAGACCCAATCGCCCCTAACCCAATTAGGCAGAGGTCTCCAAACTTGGCCACTTTGGACTCTTCTCCAGCAGCTGGCTGGAGAATTCTGGGAGTTGAGGTCCACAAGTCTTAAAGTGGCCAAGTTTGGGGGTGCCTGCAATAGGGCAAGTTGAGACCCCCATAGATCTGTGCAGGGCTGCCCCAAACACCTCCCTTGTCCGGAAGGTGTTTTCTCAAAAAAGAAGAAACTGGAGTTTCCTAGCGTTTTTTTTTTCCTTCCTCCTTTGAAAACAGTTCACTTCTCAATCAATTCGTCAGGGTGGAGCAGGAAGGGACCTTGGAGGTCTTCTAGCCTGACCCCCCCTGCTCAGGCACGAGACCCTATCTCATTTCAGACAAACGGCTGTGCAACCCCTTCTTGGAAATCCTCCAGCGTTGGATCCTCCACAACTTCTGGATGCGCCTCCATTCCACTAGGTTTGTGGTTCTCCCTGACAGAAAATCCCTCCTTGGTTCTAGGCTGCTTCTCTCTTAACAGAGTTGGAAGGGACCTCGGAGGTCTTCTAGTCCAGCCCCCTTGTTCAAGCAGGCAACCTGAATATCCTTTCAGACAAATGGCTGTCCAGTCTCTTCTTGAAAACCTTACACTGATGGAGCAACCGCAACTTCTGGTGGCAGGTAGTTCCACTGGTTAATTGTCCTCACTGTTAGGAAATTCCTTCTTCGTTCCAGGTTGCTCCACTCCTTGAGGAGCTTCCACCCTCTGCTTCTTGTCCTGCCTTCTTCAGGGGCTTTGGAAAATAAGTTGAACCCCAGCCCCCCTTTTCCTTGTGGCAGCCCCTCAAAAATCTGGAATACTTCTCATCCACGAAGCTTCCTCGGTTCTTCTTGGGCAGAGCTCTCCAAACTTAGCAACTTTAAGACTTTGTGGACTTCCACGGCTTGAAGTTGAAGACTTCCACGGCTTGAAGTTGAAG